GAACACCGGAGAGGTCTCCAATGCAAGTGTCGGTGTGTTCTATCGGTGCGGTGCTTACATGGGAGAAGTTTTTCCACTTGATAGGTTCAAACCAACGGCTGTCTTGCTCCTCAGGACCTTGCCACTTTGGGGCACCTATGGCCATGTGCACATCCCAGTGGGGTTGAAGTATTTTTGGAAGAGACACTAAGTGCTGCAAATGAATTGCTAATCTGTTCTGCTTGCTGCCTTCTAAGCTAAGCCTAAGCCCAGTGACTGGTTTACGGCCAACTGTTACCTGAAATATCATTGTATATGCTAATTTAGCAGGAGAAAAAAAAACTACCTGAGGCCTTATGAAGTTATTTACTACGGCTCCTAGAAATACTCATTATTCGTCTACCCTTTTTATCCCAAAGGGAAGAGGAGAAATGCTGATGATCATAGTATTCTTAAGGTTCTGAAATATCCCATCAATGCTACTCAAAGTTTTGAAAAAGTTCTCTATATCAATTATCACACAATAAGCATACACATTAATTTATCACACAAATGCCAAACTTCCGTAAATGATGGAAGAAACATTTGCAATAAATCAAGTGACAGAGATACCAAACCATAACAAAGAGTGGTTTCCCCGGTTGCTTCATGTTTTCTTACAATTTATTAACCGTGTTTCATTTTCTTTCTTAAAGTGGAAATAGGTATCGAACTTCAAGGGAATATGCAAGATAATTATGCACTAGAGAAACATTCTATATAACCCCTTAACACTTTCCTGGAACATCCAATAACGTATTTGTTTTTTTTTTTAAAAAAAGTTTAGACAATACCTGATCTGGGCTGATATAAAGCTTGGGACCCATTAAGCTAAACTGCAGGGATGAACACACTGGTTCCTTCCTTTGAATGTTGCTCTGTTCTGGACCCCAAACTCGAGCAATTTGAAAATCCAGGAAATATTGTAAATCCTCGATTGGTGGCTTGTCTGGTAAAAGGAAACAATGAAAGTTAAATAGAGCCTAGAGAGGAAGACGGAAAACATCTTTAACATCTTTGTAAGAAAATCATATTGAATGTTGTGGAACAGTTGAAGAACTTACACTCCAAGTATAGTTCAATTGCACGGGCCAAATGTTTTATACCAGGCACCCCTTCAAGAAGAGAAACAATGGGGGTAAATGTCATGTTAATGACATCTGGTGCCGATTGCACAGTCTCTGCCCAACTGGCATGACTCTGCTCAAGGTCGTCACCTCCTCTCCTCCTAAAAATGACTGTAACATCCTACAGCAGGAATTCTTTTAACGATGGATTTCTTCACATAAAAGGCAAATATAAACAGTAACATATTCCCCCCAAAATTAAGCATTCACGGAAATAACAGGTAGTTACTTAAAAAACTTATGATCACTATGTTTAACCATAATACTAACCTTGTCTTTGTATTTTAAGGGTGCAGCACTCGACTGGCCTTTGGAGTCTAGAAACCTCTGATCCCCAATGTCTTTCACATAGTTCTCAATTTCTGTTAACGATAAAGGAGATGACTGGTGCTGCCTGACATAAACAACATCTCTCCCACCAATTGTAGCGGAAGTAACAATGTGTGTACCATAATTTTCAATAAAACTGAGATAAAGAAAACATATCAATATCAACAATTACAATTAGAAACTGTCTGCAAATGCAAAATGATTATATGTGCCTCCTAGTTCCTATGACACCTCATCATAAAGAACATAGAGATAATATTAGTGATACATATGATATGTAACATAGAGGAAATGATTTGGAGCTGAAATTTGTTCGACTACCTCAGAGTATGAAAGCAACAAATACAAATATATAAAATAAAAAATACAGCAAGAAACATACAGCTGAACTAACAAATGTTTACTCTTTAAATATGAAGTTCATCCCAGTTACCTTGCCAAAGATGCAGGATCCCAAGTGTAAGGAACAGCACGTCTGACATCTTCATGCAGAACCAGATTCTGCTTTGCTAATTTGACTGTGTATAGGGGAATTAAATATCCAACCATGGCAAGGGATTTTGTAGCTGCGGCATCAACTCGCCAAGAACCAGTGAAATTGAACATTGCGTTAAAGCTTCCTAGTGGAACACGCCCTGATATACCAGATTTCTCATTAAAGTATCCTGACATCTGGAATTCAAAAATAAAGATGTTCATTAAAGGTGGTTTCTCAGCCTGTGCTAAACCAATGGCACTGGAAGTAGAATCATTACTTTTAATTAGATAATTGTCACTCTATCTATACCAAATTGACCTTCAAAATACATCAATACATCAACAAGGCACAATATTCAGACAAATAGGGCATTCAACCTGGAGATGTCATTCATAACCAAACAGAATCGAGTGAGTGCTTTATCAAAACAGAATGGATAATGCCTAACCGCTCTACCTCATAGGACATCATCAACAATGCGAGTCCAGTCCAAATCAGAGATGAAGCATTGACTGGGATAGGGGCGAACATTTATTCACAGAATGCACCCAAATCATGCATTGCAATATTTGCAAGAAGCATAACATCACACCAGAAGTTGAAAGCATGCCTTAATCTAAAAATTAAAAAATGTAAACAAAAACAGTATACTGGCTCAGCATTCATCACTGTAAAACTCGACTTATACGGATCCTCTATCTACAGGTTCTTTACTCTATAATGCATTAGAGGTAGCAGAATAAAACTTTAACAATCAATAACATAGGCACAACATTTCGTAAATATGCAGCAGATAACAGAAAAAGGAAGTTACTCCACGCAGAAACCATGGAGAAGTACTTGCTTAAAGGGATTAAACTGTATCGAGTATTCGAGTTCATTTGTATCCATTTGGTGGAACAAATAATGTTACCTTGCAACTATTCTTTTCTCTTTCAGTTTGATAATCAGACTACCAAGAGCCCCAGATAGGAATATTTCAAACAATTGCATTTATGCAAGTAAACAAATGGAAATCCCAGCGTGTCCGCACAATATCGAATTTCAAGCTTTGAAACAAATACCCAGTCAGAAAAACAAACAAAATCAGATAAAACAACAAATTAGAAAAACAAAATCAGAAAACCCCAACAAATTAGAAACAGATCAAAAGGGGATAGCGGCGGCTTACCTCATGAAAGCTACAAACTGATTTTCTCTCGATGTCACTCTTTCCCATTGACCACTTAATATCAACAGACACGTTGGGCACAACCACCCCGCCGGAGAAAACAAGATCGTCGGTATGGTCTTCATCAAGCCGAACCAACCTTGAACCAGGTGCACCTTTGCAATATAACAGTCTTGTATCTGAAGTGACATCAAAGCCACGACCCAAAGCTTGAATTGAGCTGCTTAGTGTAGTAGTCAAAGCATCTGGGCTAGAAGATGAGCTCAAGCGGCTGCCGTTTCTTGTTCTTGGGTTTTCCATATACAAAAAAAAAATTGAAAGGAAAAAAAAACCTTCTTTGATTCAGAGGACCCTCGAAAACGAAAGCTTTTTAATTTGTTTCAGGTTTCTGTTTCATGTTGTTTATTGAAAAGAAAATGTAAATGGGATACGGAGATTGCGAGAGTTGGTGAGTTTTGTTTATGTTGGTGCTGTTTTTGTTCTTTGTTCTAAAGGCGGATGTTGTTGAGTTGACTACAATAATCGCGAAAAACGCGTTATTTTTTGAGTTGTGTCTGAACAATTAATGATTCTGACTGGTCTTCATTGGATATTTTTATCAGATAAAAACATGTTCCTTTGACTTTCAGATGCGTGAGTGTGACCAATTTTAATTGATCACACTCATTCATTCATTTTCCAAATTTTGTCTCACAATGAACAAAATGTATAAAACAAGACAAACCCAGATTTTAATTGAATACATTATCAAATTATAACTTGGAACATGAACCCTCTGCAAAAATAGGAGCTTTAAGCACTATAACGTTCTCATGCAATATCAACTTTACATAATCAAAGTTGGAGGCTTTGATCTCATTTTTACTGCTTTATAGTTTAACATTGATGCTTCATTCAATTTGCAGAAAATTCAGTTTCGAGAACCAATGTATTGTTTTTTAAATATTATAGTAGCAACTTTGAGATATCGTGTATTTCTCAAACTTTATTAATACATTAATTATCAACGTGTCAACTTCAGCTTAAGATTATTTATTTTCTGGTGCACATGAAAATTCCACAAAATAATGAAAAATCGGAATATTCAACTTCAATTTTCCTAAAAAATAATAAAAAACGTGGACTAACCTTTAAGTAAAAACAAAACAAAAAATTAGGACAAGTCATAAACTAAGCAAAAACTATACATCTTTGTGCATTTCTAAAACTCATCGGATGTATTAAAGATGATTAGATATTGCAGATGACGTTAACCTGTGACCTCCTCGTTGGTTTCATGGATGCCATGGGCTGAAGCAAATGGCGTTTCAAACTGAGATCCTGTAGATGTTGAGGTGTGAACCTGACTTCCAGCGAAACTCTGACTATGCGTAAAACATCGATGGTCTCTTATGGCTTTAAACCTCAAATCTTCATTGTAACTACTTGCATTAGGGACGATATCAGGAATGGCAATTATTCCTTCCAACATTCCCACCACCTCGGACATTGTCGGCCTCTTGGAGGGCGTAGCATCAGTACATAAGAGAGCCACTTTAATCATCCTTTCTGCTTCCGACTTGTTATAATCGGATCCCAGCTTATAGTCCACCAACTCCAACAGCTTTCCACTTTGTTGTAAATGACAGGCCTGTGAAGGACATAAAACACATGCATGGAACTCTAAACGACGCAAGCTCACTAAACGAGCCATTAAGGACACAGCCAGATAAAATCGAAAGAAACAAAGGCAGCTATAGGAAGGGTATATAACCAGAAACATAGGGCTGAAAGTAGAACATATGAAGTACTAAATAAAGACACAAGGAAATGAAAATGCATGTATAAATAAGGTATATATCAGTGATTACCCAATCTAGAAGGCAAGTGTAATCGTTCCCTGGCCCATAATTCATATTGTGTTTGCCACTAACAAGCTCCAATGCCACAATTCCGAAGCTGTAAATATCTGCCTTGTAGGTCAAATAACCCCACAGAGCATACTCTGGTGCAATATATCCTCTGCATTTTTAACTTTTGCAATGTAAATTTATATTTAAAGGTCAAAGGAAGCTTTTTCGGCTAATACAACATTGCAAGATATTATTTGGCTTACATTGTTCCAGCAATACGTGTGCTGATGTGAGTTTTGTCCTCGTCGTTAAGCTTGGCCAATCCGAAGTCAGATATTTTTGGATTTAGGTCTCTATCAAGCAGAACATTGGTACCTTTGATGTCTCTGTGGACAATTTTCAGTCTAGACTCTTCATGGAGAAACACTAAGCCTCTAGCTATTCCGACACAAATCTTTTGCCGAGTATGCCAGTCCAGATTTATTCGAGAGTTTTCCGGTCCTTACGATGATCATCCCATGAAATGTTCCAATAGTTAGAATCTTTGTTAATGTTCCCACACAATGAAATCAGTTTGGAAATAGTTGTGCATTGAACTTACCAAACAAAGCCCGAGAAAGGCTATTATTTTCCAAGTACTCGTATACTAGCAACAGTTGATTCCCTTCAATACAGCATCCGTAAAGTTTCACAAGATTGGGATGCTGCAAACATGAAATCATGCCCATCTCATTCAAGAATTCACGGTTTCCCTGACTCGACTTTGAAGAGAGCTGCTTGACAGCGATTATTGTTCCATCAGCTAGCTGACCCTGTCATCCAGTCATTAAATTCAGCATAACTCTCTAAAAGTAAAATTACATATGAAAATGGATTTCATTTTGCACGTATTTAGCTTGTATACCTTGTAAACAGGTCCAAATCCACCTTCACCAATCTTGTTTCCAGAATCAAAGTTGTTAGTTGCCGCCTTTATCTGCTTTAAGGTGAAAGAAACTGTTTGCAGATCCAGTCCCTTGTGATCTGTAGGATGACGTACGAATGAGTTACCGATCCATTACATCCAGGTTTGTTTTCCGGAAAAAAGAGAAGGTAGAAAGCCTCATGGATGTTAGCTAGTGATCATTCTAAAATATTATTTTCATATATGAGAAAATATAAAGGAAAAGTTTTAAGCATGAAATTTTCCAAAGCATCGACTTCTACAACTAAAACAGCCCAGACCTTGTTCTCTCTGGCTCTTGGCTTTAAAATAGTATCTCCAGAAGAGAATCCCAGATGCCAAGAATACGAGAACTGATCCTACAACACCAATGACAATTGGGAAAGTCTTTGTTTTCTTCTCCTCATGCTTGGGTCTGAAATCTGACAAAAGAACTCGACTCAGAAATTGTAAAGGAGGATTCAGATGAGGACGACAAAGGAGGTGAAGAAGATTACATACTGGGATCGACTGAGATGGCTGATATGAGTGGGCCATGGACTCCTCGAACAGGAATTGCTTGAGTGCCTTTTCCATCCCAGTAAAAGCGGATCTCTAATTCACCATTTGTTACATTGGCATTATAGTGTTTCGTTAGCGGAGTAAGAATCCCACCAGCTTCAGCTTCTATATTGAAGTCTTCTTCAACCAGCTGATCCTGCAACATGAAAGTTCAGTGACACTTATTTATCTAGCAGTCAATGGAGACAGAATGGTGTCTCAGTAACTTAACTAATATGCCGGGCAAGCAATTCACTAGACAAACACCATTGCGGGAGGAATTAGTATCACAATCATCATTAATTACCTGAATATAAATGTTGAAAATCCGCCTCCCAAGTCTTCCATATCTCGTGCTATTGGTGATTTCAATTTCCGCAAAGTGTAATCTCACTGAATAACTCCCATTCTCTAAACAATATCGATAATAAGTAATTGAAAGTGGAGATAGACGCGCTGTAGCATACAACTGGTTAGACATGTTTGCTGTCTGCTTTACATATCGCGACGCAACATTCAGTTCATCATTGTCGTCCCTGAAGTCTCCAGTGCTACTAAAACCCCAGTTGTCTCCATTCTCATATAATGTTGCAGCACCACCTAAACCAGATTTCGCATCTCCCACATACTTTGTCCCATTCACTTTAACATCATTGTTTCCACCACAATTGATATACATAGAGTGCCAGTCTGCCAGAAACAAGACAAATATCATTGCTTCAAGGAAAGAAGCTGAAAGATTCTATTGCAGAAGTTAATAAGCTAACCAGTGAATTACCCTTCTCGTTTTATCAGCTTGCTAACTACACATGCATAAGTATATATATATATATAAACTTTATGGTAACCATTTCCAAGTTAGTACATTAATGTAGATCTTTTATATTAGCTTGTAAAAACATTTTTGGAAAAAAAAGGTAGTGAATTGGGAAGCATGGATTTAAGGTAAGTATATAATTAGATTTGATGGCAAATGTTATAATGGACTTACATTTCTGACATTTGAAATCACTCTTGCATGGAATAACTCCCCTTTTACTGTTGGGTCATGAGAAAAGAAAAACACCAAAAATAAAAGACAGATTAGCGATCCAATGAATGTTACACTGTTATGTAGAGCCGTTATTCTACAAATACTCATTATTTTCATACAGAAAACATGGAAATGAAGTTTTAAAGATCACACATCCATCTATCCCAACCCAAATGGTGCCCAAGAAAACAGATGGAGATCATGCTAAACCGATCTTCTCAATGTGTATTGACAGAAATTTTGGTGGCCTTAGATAATATATAATAATTAAATCAAGAACTTACAGGTATTCTGTCGAAGAACTGCGGAACAAATTTACATTATCCCTATTTAAAAAACAAAATGCAGTATATGTCAGTAACCCTACATCTCAGGAAGCATACAGGAAGAATATGCTTCTACTCAACTCAAAGAAGAAAAAAGAACTGACAATTTCCGTAAACAAGCAGGATGACCGGGGCTTGGCCATGTGAAGTTATTGTAGGAAAGATCTCTGAATACAAGGAGGAAATAAAACTGTTATCTCAGAAATCTCTGCATGCTAAGAATTCAAATATATATTCCTAGTTACAATCCAAACAGAAAGTACATACATGGCAACTCCTGTCTGCAAGATCGAGTCTGGTATATTTCCAGTGAGATTGTTGCCTGTAAGATAGCTGATTTCAATCATATCAGTCAGTTTAATAGGCATTGCTGGTAAATATAGAATGTTGCTACAATGTTTGCATGATTTCTGTCTAGAACAATTAAATAGAACTTACAGGAATCTTAAATCATGAGGGAAAGTGGCTCTAACAACTTCCCCACTCAACATGTTAAAACTGAGGTCCCTGTCCAAATTCATAGTAAATATGTCTTAGGTTTTTTTATGGTGCTAATAGATCAGCTGATAGCAGTCATTGAATAAAACAATGATTAGAATCTGATAATTTTGGGCCAGGAACATATATGTAATTGCAGCATAGAGATTTGCACTTAATAGTCTGCTTACTTTTTTCCTTCATAAAAAAATTGTAAAGTTTCCGAAAATCAAAATGTTTGAAAAATAAATAAAATGAAAATAAAGCAATTTGTTGTTTTCTTTAATTGATGAATCGTGTTTTACACTTACAAAATACGTAATTGACTCATCTGCCAGATCTGTGGTGGAATTTGCCCAGCAATGTTGCATTTTTTCAATACTCTACAATTTCCAAGAGCAGCCATATCAGATTAAATGATGAAAAAGCTAATATCTTATGGCTTCATAAAATATAAGATAGGCAGCAAACGTACATCCGATTGATTGCTGCCATGTTCCAAAGATCAGGAAAACGCTGAGTTGTTCCATTTATATCACTGATTATCCTGCAAGAAAGCAAAGCCATTATGAACAAAAAGTTCAGCAACAATTAATTTATTAACAAATTATTGTCCATAATCTTCTCCTTAGAAGCTTTCAGTACTTACAGTGTTATTAAGTTTTCCAAAGCTGAGATGGATGAAGGAATGGGACCTGTAAGTCCGCTCGCCTGCATTTCTCTGGTTTGATTTAATTAAAGCAAAAACAATCAGCTGGAGAAAAACGTTACAAGTTTCAAATACCATAAACTTTAAAGACACTTAAAAAACACTTCCAAAGCTGAGGATCTTACAATCTCCTAAGTTTCTTCCAGCTCTGAATGAAAGCTGGTATGCTCCCGTTAAAGTTGTTGTCATTTATCCTACTGCATTTATAAAATAAGAATTTTTACAATTTATGCTTCTACCAAGCTTTTAGTGGCATTCTACTAGTATAAGTTAACAAAAAACCTTACAAGTCTAATAAGTTTTCCAGATCGGCAAGTTGAACTGGCAAATTTCCGGCCAGTCTGTTGGAAGACAATCTTCTGCAAAGATAAATATGAACTTTCTTCTGTCAGAACTATGCTACTTATTCCCGTTTCTAAATGTTAGCACAAGAAAGAAAATCATAGAAACGAAATTCCTTACAAAGTTCTCAAGTTAACCAACTTTCCTATCTCTGGAGGGACTTGTCCTGAAAATTGATTTGTTTCGAGGTCTCTGTAAAGTAAATACATTGAAATTACTTGAAATGATTGCAACTTCTCCCTCGCCAATTTAAAATCTGGATAATTTGTGTACCCATGTGTCCTCGGGAGAGTGAAAAGCATATGATCTTTGCACAAAATTTAAAGATGGCCTTAAAAAGAACATCAATTTCGAAAACATCTATATGTCCAGTAAAGTAAGTACTACAAAACTTACAAGTATCTAAGGCTGGTAATGTTCCCCAAATAAGTTGGAATACTCCCGGATAGTCGATTTCCGAAGACAGAACTGGAATAAGATGGCTTGGTTAGCCTCAAAAGAGAATAACACAGTTTTCTCTTCGCTCAAAGATTGATCATATAAAAAGGAGACAATAACTTACATGAATTCGAGTTGCATTGAAGCCCATTCAGGTGGAATTGTTCCACTTAGATAGTTATATGCAAAATCACTGCATACCAAACAGGCTTAAGCTTAAACACATTCAATAAAGAAAATTAATAGAGAATTGAGAAAGAGAGCCAGAGATGCTTACACCACTTTGAGGTATGGAAGATTTACAATTTCAGATGGAAGTACTCCCGGAAGACTCTGAAGCTTGAATACTCTAAAAAGTCCAAAAACAAACCCCCAAATATCAGCCATTTTAAGCACTTTTATTTTGGTTCTTTCTTATTTTCCGGGAAACTTACAAATGAGTGACGTGGCAGGTTCCATTTTGGCAAGTGCAGGTAATGTTTTTCTCGGCAATCATGCCCACCGTGCTCACTTGCTCCGACACATTGCAACTGCCGGCATCGAAACTCCAGTCGTTATTCCCCATCGTTTTGGCAACTTGATTCAGAACATTCGCTACCAAAACCACAGATCAAACAGCAAGAACATTACTATTACTACATGAAATCCAACAATAAATCAATAAAAAAAAGGGGTTAAGCGCATATTATAAAAAGAAAACAAAGGGAAATGGTTAAATTTACCTTCATCTTGGGGCAACGTAGCGGCATAAAGCTGGTGTGTGTTTAACCAAACGAAAGAAAGAAGAGCTGGCAGCAGAAATGCGATGGGGTTTGGAAAGAGCATGATTGAAGCAAAGGAAGAGCATTCGATCTTCTCAGCAACCAATCTGGGTCTTGTCTTGTTCAACTTTTCTTATCTTTTCCCCTTACTTTTTTTCAGTTTTCAGACAAAACATCAAACCAAAGAAGAAGAAGAATAACTTATTTTAGGATTAATAAATTATGTAGGAAAGGGAAGTAAGTAGTCAGATACTTTGAACGCTAAAAAACGAAAACCGACAGTGGAAAGCAGTTTTTTTCTTTGAAGTTGACATTTGAAAACAGCTTCAGGTTGAAATTAGAATATTTCTGTGTAGATTTTTTTCTTTTCTTTTCTATTTTGAAGGTTTTCTGTGAAGAGATAGCGTATGGAATTGAAATTTGAATGGGATAAATTCTGTGAGGACGTGTCGCAATTCGCATGCTTTCGAATCAGATGAAAATCCGTTATTGTTCCTTCCAAATTTTCAAACCACGTGCTTGTTGCTATGGTCTATGGATGAATCCGAATGTATTACACATCCCTACAATTGCATAAAAATACTTTTTTTTCCTTAATTGTATATTTGACTCGTAAATGTATTCATTTTTAAGTTAGTATTTAAAAATATTTTAAACTTTTAACAAAATCATTCCAACTTATTACATAAATTTCCATTCCATCAAATATAATATTTTTAACCATTTTTTAATATTATTAAAAATCATTATAATATCTTTTAATTAATTAAACGATCAATGACATGTTGTCTCAACTTATATGAGTTCAAATTCTGACATTTATCTTGAAAATATAATATATTTCTACTTAATAAAACAAATGGAGTTATGAAAGTTTTGGAGAGACCAACTATAAATAATAATAAAATGAAAGTCATATTCTAATTGTTAAACTATTAATTTTAGACTTAAGCAGTATAATAAACTGAGGCAGATAGGAGATGGTTAAGAAGCAATGATATCTTTTAAAAACAATAATTTTAATGGATAAATAAATAAACGATTTTTTTTAAAAAAATATCGAATATATCAGCTTCTTGTACAATTTTAAATTGAATTTTTATACTTTAATAAATAAAAATTTTACTAGAAAAGTTTAAATAAGTCAGGTTCGTGAATTATTTCAAATTTAGTTTTAATATTTTAATTAAAATATAATATTTAATTTGTTTTTAAAGATTAAAAATTGAATTGACGAAGATATAAATATAAAATTATTTAATGATAAAATTGAATTGATGTTAGCGGAATTTAAAATGTTCAATAATATAACGGTTTAAGATATAAAATTAAAATATAAAAAGTATTTTTAATTTTAAAATAATATAATGATATTTAGCATATTTTATGTGTTAAAAGGAGTATGAACTAAGTGATTTCGGTGATAAATAAATGAATTGTTGTTATTTCTTAAGGTTCCGTGTTCAAATGCATGAATATCAAGTATATAAATATTCAATATCAAATAATTAAAAAATATCTTTAAATTAATACTTCCTAAAATAAAAAATAAAAATTGTTAAAAGGATAATGTGTCTTTTTATATAAAAGAATTATTTGGGTTTAAAGAAAACAGAAAACCTAAACGCAGAATCCAGATGCAGATAGGTCCAATGGATCTAAGCAGAGGCCCAAGTCCAACCATACGCCATAAAAATGTTAGCACAGTACGTTTTCAATTTGAAATCCCAAATATTTGTCTAGGGGAACTCTTCTCGGACCCTAGTTGATTTTCGATCTGCTCCGCAATCCTCACCGTATGTGTCCGATTCATTTCTTTTTTCTCTTTATCTTTATTTTTTTGTCATTTATTGTTTGTTTATTGACAGTTTCTTTCATTGAAAATGATATGCCGAGATGATTCGGGATCTAGATTTGCATGTGTAATATTGTAGAATTTTATTTTCTGAGATTTTGATTTACCAGATTTATTCATCGGAGTGGAAGATCTGGTGGTAGTTTAATTGGTATCCCTTTAGGCGTGAGTTTATTTTGGTTTTCCATTTTACTTTAGCTGTTGTAAACCAATCATTTTTTAAAATATCATAACTTGCATCGCCTAATTAACATAATCTGCAATTACTTTATTTATTTTTGTTGACTTTAGTCTCCGATTGGTAAGTTGGATTAATAGGTATGCCTGTCAAATTAATTGTTTCAGTTAATACTTGTTATAATGTAATGAGAATGAAAATTTGTTCTTTATAGATTAGTTGGCTTTAAAATTTTAATTTTATTTCATTTTCCAAGGCATGAATTCCTTACACGTCTCTCCTTGATTTGCTTATAGAAATACGATTGCCTATAAAAAAAGGGTTTTTCAGTAATTGTACCTATCTATGTAATAATTATTATAGCTGTAAGGATTGGATGATCGAGTTAGAGAATAGAGATTGATATCAAGTCGAATACTAACTATGCAAGGAGCCAGTGCTACATATGTTTGTATTCTAATTATCTGCTGAAGCTTCGGGACATGTTTCAACTCTTTCAGTGAATTCATGGTCATTAGTATTTTTATTGATTCTTACTTTAAGTGAGACGTCTGGCCTCATTATTATCTGCCCTTCCTTTGTCTTTTATTTTCCTTTATTCTTAAATGCATTATATCTGTAGCAAGTTCCTTAACAAAAAAGCTATTGCTGATTTGATGGTGTAATTCAGTTCTGAATAGTCAACATGGGTGGAGGGTTCAGAGTGCTGCATCTGGTTAGACCATTCCTTTCATTTCTGCCAGAGGTTCAGAGCGCTGATAGGAAAATTCCTTTTAGAGAGAAGGTCATGTACACTGTCATCTCCCTTTTCATCTTTTTGGTGTGCAGCCAGCTTCCACTTTATGGAATACACTCTACGACGGGTGCTGATCCTTTCTATTGGATGCGTGTTATCCTTGCTTCTAACCGTGGAACTGTTATGGAACTTGGCATTACCCCCATTGTGACATCTGGATTGGTGATGCAACTCCTGGCTGGTTCAAAAATCATTGAGGTGGACAACAGTGTTCGTGAGGATCGAGCACTTCTGTAAGTGTTTTTCTCATTCAACTATATATACTTTTTTGTTTGATGGAATTGCCTTTTAGTCCCAATGAAAAGGCCGGGTTTTTTTCTTCTTTTCCCTTAGAGTAGATAAGCTGCTATTTTTTACATTCGTAACATCCAACAACTTTTATCTTGTTGGTCTTTTGCAGTGCTGATCAAGCAATTTCTTGTGGTATATCAGACTGTAGTTTTATGGTCTTTCCTCTATGGTGTATCCTTGCATATTAAGATTTTGTGCTTCTATTTGTGGTTTTCAGAAATGGGGCTCAAAAGTTGTTGGGAATCCTGATTGCTGTCGGTGAGGCGGTGGCATATGTACTGTCTGGCATGTATGGCAGTGTTGGTCAGCTTGGTGTTGGGAATGCTATTCTTATTATTATTCAACTTTGCTTTGCTGGAGTCATCGTGATCTGCCTGGATGAACTTCTCCAGAAGGGATATGGTTTGGGCTCTGGGATCTCCCTTTTCATTGCCACCAATATCTGGTATGTTATCGCATTGTTTTCCCTTTTTTACTATCTCAATGTATTCCAGCATGTGGTCATCCAATTCTATTTTAATTGTTCAGTGAAAGCATAATCTGGAAAGCCTTCAGCCCTACAACTATCAACAGTGGTCGGGGGGCTGAATTTGAAGGTGCTGTCATTGCTATGTTCCATCTACTGATAACTAGGACAGACAAAGTTCGAGCACTCCGCGAGGCTTTCTATCGGCAGAATCTTCCAAATGTTACAAATTTGCTTGCAACAGTATTGATCTTCCTTATTGTCATCTACTTCCAAGGTTTCCGTGTTGTTTTGCCGGTGAGATCAAAGAATGCTCGTGGACAACAAGGGTCATATCCCATTAAGCTATTCTACACCTCAAACATGCCCATCATCCTGCAGTCTGCACTTGTTTCAAATCTTTATTTCATCTCCCAGGTATCTATGGTTTATATGAAAATGCTTCATTTTACTGTTAATATTGAACTCGTAACTGTATTTATTTTTATGCAGTTGCTGTACAGGAAGTACAGTGGTAACTTCTTTGTGAACCTGTTGGGCAAGTGGAAGGAATCCGAATATGCAGGCGGACAATTCATTCCCGTTGGCGGTCTAGCATACTATGTCACTGCACCTGCAAGGTTAGAACTTATGTTATTTCTCTTCGATTTCTTTACAATTGTTCAATACACCAACATATTTGGAATGCTTGATTTCCTTCTTTTGGTCCGTTATTTCTTCAAACAGGCTAATCCCTCATTTTTCTGATTATTCTCGTAGCTTGGCGGACATGGCAGCAAATCCCTTCCATGCTCTATTTTATCTTGTGTTCATGCTTTCAGCATGTGCCTTGTTTTCGAAAACTTGGATTGAAGTTTCTGGTTCTTCTGCCAAGGATGTGGCTAAGCAGCTCAAGGTGACCTTTTTAAGTCGTACAACTTTTGTTTTCTTTTCCATCTTTTTTGTTTGTTGGCCTTTTCTGTTACGGGTCATCATAAGTTTCATTTTCATTATTCCATCCGGAGACATTTACTTGCTGATTTAGCTTAATCTTGCTTGCTTTCCTCATAGATGTATTAGATAACTTAGTTGATCTTGATTCCTCTTGCCTAATATATGATTAAACTATGTCGATGTTTATTTGTTTTGTTTCCTTTCTCACCTTAAAAAAAGAATTTCTAGTGCCTTGATAGCTTGGAGTTATCCAAGTTAACGAACAGTCTTTGAAAGGGATCCTAAACGCTTAAGTTACACTGAGTGTATTTCTGACTCCCCCATGTTATGTGTTTTCTTTGCAGGAACAACAAATGGTGATGCCTGGACATAGAGATTCAAATCTGCAGAAGGAGCTGAACCGTTACATACCAACTGCAGCTGCATTTGGCGGAATGTGCATTGGTGCATTAACTGTCCTAGCCGACTTTATGGGAGCAATCGGTTCAGGTACCGGAATATTGCTTGCGGTGACAATCATATATCAGTACTTTGAAACCTTTGAGAAGGAGAGAGCCAGTGAACTGGGCTTCTTTGGACTGTGAAGCCATGAAAATTTTAATGATTGAATTTGAAACCAAAAGATGCAAGTAGGTCCCACTCCTTGTTAACATCCCATGGATAGAAAATTTGAGGTCAAAGATTTGTTTTTCCCCATCTAGTGATTCACTTCAACGGGGGAATGCGTAAGCTTGAATTCTCAAGATGCTGCCTGCCCCTTTTTAAAGTTTAAGCAAGTTTTTATTAATCCCCAAATTCAATAATTTCTCATTATTTTACTTTTACGCTGTGAAATATGTTTTCAATTTTTATCTGTTCTAAAAAAAATGGCATGCATTTCAGCTTCATTCAATTTTTTTCCATGCCTCTTCTATCATTACTTAATCAGATTGCCGAACAGAACTTGCCCATGATGTAGCTAAGAATGTTTGCGTGTTGGGTCCCTTCTATAAATAATAAATAAATAAAACCCAAAGGTTAGTAACCTTGTTCGTCAAGGTTGTTTGAACCTTGTACGTATAACATTATTATTTATTGTATTACTTTGCTAAAGTGGATTAATCCAAATAGAAAAAGAATTAAAGAGAATTTAGCCTGATTTGGACCGCATGAAGTTGCTCCTTGTCTTTGCAAAAGTATAGACATTCGAGGCATTAACAAGACGTGATGTGAGTATTCTTAAAACAAAGAGGGGTATGATATAATACAAATATTAACTTTTCATTCCATGTCAGATATATGAAACACATCAAACTCGAGCCATTCTTTACCTTTAAGAAATCCTCGATTTTTTTTTTCTTCAATTTCTCTCTATACATGAAATGTATTATATATAAGTCGTTTAAAATTTAAACTTTTATAATATTATTTAAATAATTTATATCTTATTTAAATATTAAATTTAAAGAGTCTAAATTAAAGTTTAAGATTTTATATTTTAAATTTATAAATGTTAAATAATGTCTATCAAATATTTTTTTATATACTTAGAATTACTTCAGTTAATTACTTCGCAAATCTTTTACATATACATCCGACTTAATAATTACACCAAGCAATGATGGCCAATAGCTTTTGTTTCTAAACCCCCTTCCTTTTCTTAGCTTTTATTTTGAGTGCTAGCTAGCCAAAAAGATTGGCACTTCCGTCCCATGAAAGTGAAGAAAATCAGTTGAAGTGAAAAAGGAACGGACTCCCAAAGATGCTTATGAAATACAAATGTAGTCACAACCTGGAGAATTTAGGTTTTGATTTGAAAAACATATAGAATCACATGTAACTGTTATAAATCGCATGAATTCTCCACTTGTGGCCATTAAACAGAACATACTTATGGGCTATGACCCCTCTAACAGGAAGAAACAGGGGTTTTCACGACTGTATTTTATCATTTCCGTTGGATTCCCATATTTTATGATAAGACATTCATGCTTGCCAAGGCTGGAAAGTTGATGGTACAAGCAGAGAGCCGAAAACAGTTAAAGAAATAATGCTCCCTCCTTCAAAAGTAGTAGTCTAGAAGCTGAATTTTTCAGCTATGAATTGTCACCTCAGCATATTTGGGCATTAGGATTTAAGACAAATCTTAGCCGCGGCCACAACTACTAGACTTCACTATCATATAGATCGATTTTTTCGAAAAATCATTTTTTATATCTTTATATACTTGTCATATATTATTTTATTTTTATTTATCGATTTAATATCTTTTTTATAAAAGCGTACCTCTTGAGTCGTGTCTTACGTTGATATGGCGTCACATGGGGTAAGGCGTGCCCCCTAAAGCGCGTCTTATGTTGAAATGGTTACACGCTGGTTAAGGCGCGACTCCTGGGACGCGTCTTATGTCACGTAGGAGTATAGTGCAGTGCAGGAGCCGCGCCTTCTTGCAATTATGACACGCATCAAAATGACGCGCCCCCTGCAGCGCGCCTTTACTTTAATTACCCAACTATCCCTCCCGTTTACACCTCATTCTCTCCCTATAAATAACTCAATTCTCAATCACTTTCATCACACCAGATCCTCTCAACTTCTCTTAAATACTCTTATATTCTCTTATAGCTATTTAAGGTATATTTTATTATATTTAGTATTTTGTTAGTAATTTATTTAACTATTTAAATTTTTTAATATTTTATTTAATTAATTTTTTTACAGATATAAAATAGAAGGCGATCTATTTCGTTTTGATAGAAATCATATATCTCGGCATTTTGCTAATACGGTAACATTTTAATTTAATTTAAATTATTAATAATAATTTATTTATTTAATGAATGATTATTAGTTTATAAATTAATTTTTGTAATCATTTATATTTTAGGAAAGCGACCGTATATTAGATCATTTTATTAGGAACCTTAAGTTAGCGATACCTACCCGTGTCTGTCCGTATTTAGTCGAGTTTGGATTCGATCACATAGGTAGATATGAATGACATTATAAGATAAAACCATACCTTATTTCTGCATTAGTAGAGCGGTGGAGGCCGGAGACCCACACATTCCATCTTCCGTGCGGACAGAGAGTGCACGATTACGCTTGAGGATGTTTCTATGCACTTGGGGCTTCCGGTGGATGGAGATGTGATTTCAGACGGTAACTGGACTACTTTGTGCCGGGATTATCTAGGAGGTGTCCGGTAAAATTTTAACGATGGTCAGATACCGTTAAATTGGTTAGATGCAAATTTTTTGGAGTTGACCGATGACGCCTCTGATGATGAAGTTAAAATATATGCACGGGCATGCATACTGCAGCTGATAGGAGGGTTGTTGATGTCGGACATATCGCGTAACCAAGTTCATTGTATATGGTTGCGACATCTTGGCGACTTTCATTTGGCCGGATCATTGAGTTGGGACTCGACAGTTTTGGCTTTCATGTATAGGGAGATGTGTCGAGCGACTAACTACAGGAAAAATGCTATCGGCATATGTCTCCTTCTACTGCAGTCTTGGTATAGTATCGATTACCATTTTTATGTCATATTTCCGCTACTATTGAAGTAATTATAAAACTAATTTCGTATATTAATCATTTTATACAGTGTATAATAAAAAATTCTTTGAATAGGTGGTCTACTGACAGGAAAAATCATTTGGAGCTACCTGATGATTTAGAAAAAATGAGGGTGCTAATTGATCAGAAGGCTGTCATAGAGGTATGCATTTTAATGTTTAAAAATCGATTTTTTATTATAGTTATATAATTAGATTATTAGTTTGATAAAAATTATATATTTATTTTAGTTTGAATGGGTTCCATTTTCTAATGATGATGTGAGGATGTGCATCCCACCTGAGTTGAGGGGCACATCAGATGTTTGGATGGTGGTGGTCACTTTGATCTATTATGCGATCGTCGAGTGGCACTCCACTGATCGCATGCTCCGATAATTTGGTTTTGTACAACCAATTCCGGAAGCACCTCGCAATATGGACGAGTTACATAGCATAGATCGACGCGGCAAGTCGGATACAGATTGACTGGTGAAGCGTCATGAGAGTCGTACTGTGGGAGGATCGGCATCGACGCTTTCCCATAGAGAACTCATTTATAATGACCTCTTGACAGTTATTGATGATTATTATGAGTGGTTCAACAGTAACGGGAAACTGTTTCTGCTTTCTGAGGATGCACGAGGGCAGATCTTTCAGCGACGTCGATAGAGACGTGAACCATCACAACTCCATCGTCCCCCGACTCGTGGATGGAGAGCAAGTGTTTCTGGTTCGTCCTCAACTTCACCAGCAGGACCTTCACAGTAGTCACCGTCTGTAGCGACTTACATACCGCAGCCATATACGATGTCGCCACCGCCACCTTCACCTGGTTTTATAGCCCCGCCGTCGCCGCCGTCGCCACCATCGCCGCCGTCACAAAGTTATATGACCCCTCCTGGAGGATATTATGGGTATATGTTTACATATCTGACTTGGGGTTCATATGCTAGTTATTTAGCGGGTGCAACCTCATCACCGATGGTCGCGACACAGACACCTCCTGTACATTTTTCACACTCATCGATGTCTGGGTTTTATGAGTTTTCGCAGTTATCTATAAGCGGTGGGATAGTCAGTCATACACCTCCAGGGTCCTTATTCTATGAAGGTGTTACATCATCATCAGTTTCTCATCAACAAAATGTATTTTCTCCTGACGACGATGATGATGATGATGATTACAGCGAGGAGTCATAACCAGTTATACGAAGAAATCCTCCTCGAGACAAACAACCACCGCCCTGCAAAACACATTTGCACCGTAGACATTGATAGATTTTGATATTTCATTATATTTGTATCTATTTGTTTATTAGACTTTTTTATTGTAATTTTATTATTATTTATCATTTAATACTTACTTTATTTTGTTGATTTGGTTGGATTTTTTTTTGATTTTTTTTTGTTAATTTTGTTGGATTTTTTGTTAATTTATTTTGTTAATTTTGTTTATTATCATTTAATATCAATTATTGTAATTTGGTTATTATTTACCATTTAATACTTATTGTAAGTTTGTTGTATTTAAAATTATATTCAAATACCTAATTACTATTAGTTTGATAAAATTTAATAATTGTGTTCGATAACTTTCTTAAGTTTGTCACTTATTATCTCTTTTATTATAATCACATATAACGCCAACGTCCAATCCCGTTTTCTTGTATTGTTTTTTTAATCTTCATCAGCGGTTATCGAATGACATTAACTTTAAGTAAATGCAAATTAAAGTACAAGAATTATTATTTGATAAACAATAACTACATCAATTCCTCATCAATGGTTACTTGATGACAACAGAAGTGGACATGTTCTCCTAGTGTGTCATGAGTTTCTACAATGCTCACATTTTTTGTCGTGTCTAAATGTTTCTCGAATATCCATATCACAATGAATTCGAGTGGATTTTGGACAACCACGATCCCTCAATAAAGTCAGGTCTGGTACAATCAGAACCTAATTCTGAACCTCATTAGGCTCTTCGTCATTACTTATGGGGGAAACTCAAATTTGTATACCTTAAACACTTATGATATTAGGTATACTGGATCCACAAAACGGTTATAGTCTTGACGGGTATGCGAGCAAGCTGCTATCACATGAGAGTATGGATACTTCATAGCTTGAAAAAACACGCAGTCACACCATCTGTCCCGTAGATTTACTCTTAACGACACAGCTTCAATCCCTTGAAGAGGTCGCTGTAACTCTGTGACATGAAACAAAGCATGTGTTCTAAAGAAGCTTGTTACAGACATTCCATTTGTTGCATCAATTTTTTTGTAGATCTGCAACTAATATAGGGTGATAGACATGACCGCCTTGCATCCAGGTTTGAGCTTGTCCCCCAAGCTTCGCAAAAAGTGCCCAAAACGAAAATATGTAGTTTTTACCAAAGCCATTACAGGTAAGTGACGTGCACCCTTTAAGGTCGAATTGATTGTCTCAGCCAAGTTGGCTGTCATGTGTCCATATCGATATCCACCATCATATGCGTTTGTCTACATTTCTTTATCGATGAGGCTGATGTTATCGTATCCTTCCTCGTTCTTCGCCCGTAAATCTTGAAGAATATATTCAAATGTTTGAGGAAGTAGTTTGTAACCTGATCAAAAAATGTAGAACTTACTAACTTTGTTTCCTTAAAAAATAAAAACGATCAAAAGAAAAATGGTGGTTTCACTTACCCATGCGCACAAGTAATTGACGTTCATAATTCTTCTTGAACCTCCCATAGTAGTTCGCAGCAATGTGTTAGATACAATACCTATATTGGACAAAGAGTGGCTGCCACAATGGACCCAAAGACTCCATTACTGCTTTGATCCCAGCTCCACGATCTGAAATGACACATATTTTTCCCTCGTGATAACATGTGAACGTAAGTTTCGGAGGAAAAAACCCCAAGAATTTGTATCTTCTCCTTTAACGAGAGCAAACGCAACTGGAAGAATGTTGCGCTTATCGTCTTGGACAACTGTCAATAGTAAAACTTTCTTGTATTTTCCATACAAGAAAGTTCTATCGATCTGTACCACAGGCTTGCAGTATTTGACAACATTAATGCACTGTGGGTAAGTCCAAAAAACCCGGTAGAATTGGCATCGATCGCGAAGAACTCGATCATTATGGTATGCATGAGAGGTTTTGAAGTCCACAATTATCTCAGGATTCAACCTCCGTACCAACCTAAACCAACTTGGAAGTTCGTTGTAAGATACATCCCGTTCGCCGTGAAGTTTTTTAATGGGCATCTACTTTGCCTTCCATACTTTTCTGTATGAGACGGAATACCTATACTACGATTGTATAGCTGAAACCAACACAACAATAGCTATATGGGAGCTCGCTTTTACCATGGGCATGATAGTTTGACAGATCACTTGAGAGTCCAAGTTGGGATGATCTTGGTTGATCCCTCCAGCACAACATATGTGAGGACCGTTGTATACTGTTAGTTCCCATCTATTGTTTTTCCTCTTCGATACGTGAACCATCCAATTGCATCCGTTTTCACGTCGGACACAGTGGTAGACATACTTTTCTGGCGTAGAGTGGTCGACTCTGGATTGAACAGAATTACGGATATTTTAATTTTTTATAGCCATCATCGCTTCTTCTTTGGTTGAAAACTCCATGCCTAAAGATAACTCATAATTGTTTATTGATGAGTAAAATCCATAGTCACCGAGATTAGACATATCCGTAAATTCTGGCACGTACATTGCACCATAATCAGCTTCATACATGTGTGCTGGAGGGTCAGTTTGTGCCATATTTGAGTGAACTTCATCTACATCATCATCATTATCGGAGTTGAATTGCGGTAATTTTGGGTGAATGAATAGTCCAATCTCAGCATCATCAGCGTAGGGCACGCCTTTCTGCAAAAGGTGTTAGATCAATAAATAAAGTTGAAAGGGTGTTTGACAGGTATATAAAGATACAAAAGGTGATTTTTCGGAAAAATCACCCTCATATAGGGGTATTGATTTGGTGGTGGCCGACCGAACCAAATTACCATTAACTGAATTAATCAATTTTTTTTCCTTTAACTGTTAACCGAACTGAACTTTTTTTTGAAAATATTAAGTGAACCGAATAAATTTTGAGAGTCCAATTCGAGAGTCCAGAGTAAGAAAGATCAATAAGATAATAAATAAACGTCAACTTGATCAATCGATGCGATATTAAATTTAACCATGAGAAAATTAAACGAAAAGAATAACGAAACGATCGATAAAAAAACGAAAACATGCAAAAAGATAAAAAAATGTATTATGAAAATATATGTCATATAAACAAAATTATTGAATATTATAATATAAAAAAAGTAAAGAAGAAGATCGGTGGTAGGCAATTAACCCTAAAACTAATGTCGTGGTCTGTTAACAAATATTAAAAAAAAGCAAACGATCAACGTAAAAACTATGGAGATAATTTAGGTTTTCTTATAATATTTTTTTGAATCTATTATTATTAGATTTAATAATGGGATTGCTTTGATAATCACCTAGACAGCTAACGTAATTATATACGAAGGAATTATTGGGTCGAGGTTTATTGGCGAGTTTAATATTTTTAACGATTTGCGTGCCTATATTGATATTACTGTGTTGTTGATTAACGACAACATGCTTTATACATGAAAAATGAATGATGATTGTTTGTATGACCCGCCTAACAGACAAGTAACATTAATCCATCCTCGTCATGCAAAATCAGAAACATGTTATTATATTGTATGTATTTCATCTAATCCCAATTTGATTTTGTAATGAGAGATAATCAATGTAATTTTAAGTTGTTCTGAATACAATATTTTATGTTAGCGAAACGCTTTAAAATTTTAAGAGAACTGAAATTTTTTATAAAATATCAGTATTAAAAATAAAATTTTAAAATATATAATAAATTTAAATTTTTAAGGAGGGACTGAGTGTACCCATCGGTTACCTTCCATCCCTTATCTCCAGTCAGCCAATGTCATGATTTTGCTTGTATAGGCTTAAGTGTTTCATGACACACATGAAAATGGCAGCTCCATCCATTTTGGAGGAGCAGAACTGCAATTATTCTGCCTCTCATCATTATTAGGGTTTCTATATGTGCTTTTTCATATTTCACCCACTCAACATTTCGAATTAAGTCCTTAAATTCTAACTTATTTTAAAAAGAATATTAATATTTTTTAGAAAATATTTTAGACCTATTTATAAATTAAGATAATTATTGGAATCTCATACAATGACGCTTGGCAGTTGGCATTAGTTGGAGAAGAAGCCGTCTTGTCTCGGTACTATTATCTTCAAAATGAAAAGAATTTCAATCTAAAAGTGATTACAAACTTTGAAAAATCATGTTAAAACATACCCCCTTGCCTCCTGGGTCACTTGTTTTTCAATAATGGTGGCCACTTTAGTTTTTCAATGTTACCCAATAAATTTTAATTTTTCTTTTTTGTTGCTTAAGATTTCATACTTTCTAATCAGAATCGATTCGGGTCGCACATCTAATTTTAGTGGGTGAGTCTCCACGAATTTTTGCTGCATATACAAAAATTCGAATTCGATACTTGTTTAAGCGATATTAAATTGTTTACCACTTAAACTAACTCATTAGTGATGAATTTTAATTTCAAGCGTAATATCTACCCTATTTACTATTCTTAAGTTCGAAAATCTAAGCTGGTCCAACAAATATATTTACTATTCTTAGATATAGTATATGATTCTATATTTTTAGCAAAGATGAGTAATTAGGATTTAAATTTAGATATTTTCCAAAAGGAAGAAGAAGGAAATAACATAACATACACTAATTCAGCTTATTAGCATTTAGCATCAGCTTTCGTAGCTTTATTAGGCTCAGGTCCACTCTTTCAATCGCAAGTGCTTGGGTATTTATGGACATTTTAGTCGTTATCTTCTTTCGGCTATGACTTTTTTCCACCATTTTTTCTAAAAAAAATATTTCCCCTAATAATATGTTATTCGTTTATTAATGTATTATCTTTAGAGCTCTATAATGATTATGAGTTTATTTTTTTTCAAGTACAAAAAGCTTTCAATTACGAGAAAAATAAGATGAAGGAAATTAAAAGTCTATTGTTTTGACATGGACCACATGCATTTATCAGATCGTTTCCAAAAAACCTCAAAAGAGTAAAACTTGTTTGTTTCGCTAGAAAATGACGTTCATGTATGATAAACTGGGAATTTCCAGTAGTCGATATTTATTTATATAAAAAAAGTGAAAGAGTGAT